GGTGATGTGGGATAAAAGATGGGTGTCAAAAGCGGATGTGCGGAGAGGGCATTACTCAATTTCTTGCTCCTTTTCTATGGAGGAGGATGGGATTCAATGGATGTTTTCTGGGGTGTATGGTCCAGTATAGATGGGGAGAGATTTCGTCTTTGGGAGGAGTTGGGGGCGGTTAAGGAGCAGTGGGGTCTTTTGTGGTGCATCGGAGGAGATTTTAATGTTGTTAGATTCCCTTTGGAGAGATCAACAGGAGGCAGGCGGACTTCGGCTATGGCTCAGTTCTCGGAGTTTATTGATGGGCATCGTCTTCATGATTTGCCGTTGGAGGGGGCTTCTTTTACATGGACAAGTGGCAGAGATGCTCCTACTCTCTCGTTTGGATCGTTTTCATATTTCTGGAGATAGGGAGGAGAAGTTTCCGGATGTGGCTCAGGCAGCTTTGGCCAAACTGACATCGGATCATATTCCTTTGGTCTTGGACTATGGTGGGCTAAGGTCGAGAATTACTTCGTTTCAATTTGAAAATATGTGGCTTAGGTCGGAGAATTTTCAGGGTTGTGTGAGATCTTGGTGGGAGGGGTGTATGGTGATAGGGAATCCAAGCTATATTCTAGCTGGAAAGCTTAGGGCATTGAAGCTGGAGCTTAAAAAGTGGAGTAAGGAGGTTTATGGGAATTTGGAATGGAGGAAGGGTAAAGCTTTAGCTGAGATTGCAGAGATTGATCGGCGGGAAGGTGAGTGTGGTATTGATGAGGGTCAGAGAGGCAGGAGGGCTTGCTGAGATCGCCTGCTCGGAAGAGATATCCTGGAGACAGAAATCTAGGGCTTTATGGCTAAAGGAGGGAGACAGGAATACCAAGTTTTTTCATCGGCTTGCCAATGCCAATAGGAGGGGTAATCATATTGGAAGGATTACTGTTAATGGGGAGATTCTTGTTAGGGAGGAGGATGTGCGCAGAGGGATCGCTGGTTTCTATCAAGGGTTGTTTTCAGAGCCGAGTTTTTGGAGGCCTCACTTGGATGGCCTGCAGTTCGATTCTATTTCTAACATTTCTAGAGAGGAGTTGGAGATTCCATTTTCTGAAGAAGTGCCGAGGGCGTTAAGGAGTTGTAATGGGGATAAAGCTCTAGGCCCGGACGGCTTTACCATGCGTTTCCTCTTAGAGAGTTGGGAGGTGGTCAGGGGAGATGTGATGGGTACATTTCATGCTTTCCACATGCAGGGGAGGTTTGAGAGCAGCTCAAGGAGTTTGCGTCGAGGGGATCCCCTGTCACTGTTTTTGTTCATTATCGTGATGGAGGCTCTTAATAGGTTAATGGGGAGGGTTGTGGAGCTGGGATTCATTAGTGGTTTCAGGGTGGGTTCTAGGGTTGGATATTTCCCATTTGTTGTTTGTTGATGATACTCTGGTCTTCTGTGAGGCTAAAGAGTCCCAGCTGAGATATTCGAGAGCAGTGTTGATTTGTTTTCAAGCACTTTCGGGCTTGAAAGTTAATGTGGGGAAGATTGCTTTGATTCCAGTAAGGAAGGTGCCAGATATGGAAAGGTTGGCTTCGGTCCTCGGTTGTGGGGTATGCTCTTTCCCGATTTCTTATTTGGGCATGCCTTTGGGTGTTTCTTCTAGGAATGTGAGTGCTTGGGATCCAGTGGTTGATAGAGTGGAGAGGAGGCTAGCAGGGTGGAAGAAGCAGTATCTTTCAAAAGGTGGGAGGATCACCTTGTTGAAGAGTACTTTGTCGAATATTCCTACTTATTTTCTTTCCCTATTCCAAATTCCGTCCTCGGTTGCTGATTCAATTGAGAGACTTCAGAGGAACTTCTTGTGGGGAGGATCTGGGGAGGAGTTCAAGTATCACCTTGTCAGGTGGGAGTAGGTGTGTAGGCCCATTCAGTCTGGGGGTCTAAGTATAAGGAGAATTGGGCCTTTCAAAAAGCCTTTGCTAAGGAAGTGGTTGTGGAGGTTTGGTATGGAGCGGCATAGGTTATGGAGAGTTTTGGTAGGCCGCTTTGGGGAGGAGGCCGCGTGGTGGGTTTCGTGTTTGGTCTCGACTTTCGGAGGGGTGGGGGTTTGGAAAGCTATTCGAAAGGGGTGGAATGAGTTTTCCAAACATATCAGATTCAGAGTTCAAGATGGAAGGGAGGTTAGTTTTTTTTTTTTTTATAAGTAAATTGTATTAAAAGGCGTTCAAAAGGGGAACACGTCCCGATAATAGTACAAAAACCAAAATCAAAACAAAATAACAATCAAAAACCAAGGAAAGAGGAGACCTATGAACCTAAGGATCCCAAAAAATTCATGATCTCCTCTATAGAAGAACAATCTCTCCCCGTACCCCAACAAAAAAGAGAACAAATGATGGAGTACTTTAAAACCCCAATGGGTAAATCCTCCCCAACAAATGATCTTCTATTACGCTCTTTCCACAGGCCCACCAGATACAAAAAGGAATCACCCTCCAGAAATCGCAAACACGAGTCCCCACCCTTTGCCTCCTCCAAGTATCAATAAGTCCCAGTGTGGTCCGAGGCATAACCCACTGGATGCCAAAAAGACCCAACATAAGGCTCCAACAATCATGGCCACTGGGCAGGGCAGGAGAAGGTGATCCACAGACTCTCCATCGGTCATACACAAACAACACCGATTAATAATAATATGTCTTCTCTTCCTTAAATTGTCGAGAGTCCAGATCTTACCCCAAACAGCAGTCCAAACAAAGAAAGCCACCCTCAGAGGAGCCTTCGAATGCCAAACCGTTTTCCACGGGTAAGAGGAGGCCTAAAAACCGGAAATACAGAAAAAGAAAGACCGGACCTGAAAAATCTCCTGTGAAGAAGGCACCCAAGTCAAGATATCCGCCCCAGTACCATCCACCTTCGCTATCAAGGTGATAGCAGTCAGCAACCAAAACATGACAGTCTACAGCAATACTAAACAATCTAGGAAACCGTCTGCGCAATGGACGATTCTCACACCAGGGATCCTCCCAAAACCGAACATTTCGACCTTCCCGAAATCTGAATCTAATATGTTTGGAGAACTCATCCCACCCCTTCCTAATGGAATGCCACACACCCACACCAAAGATTGCTCTCTTGCTTGCTCTTTTCCGAGACTGTTTCGAATTGCTGTGGATAGACGTCTCGGTTGCTGACTGTTATCGGCTTGATAGCGGAGGACGACTTGGGATGTTCGTTTTCACAGATTTGTTCAGGACTGGGAACTGGTTGACGTGTATAGTTTCCTGGAGCTCTTGCACTGACAGGAGATGCGGGGTGTCGGAAGGGATGCTTTGGTTTGGATCCCTTCATCTCGGGGCACTTTTTGCGTGAGATCTTTTTTCGGTTGTCTTTCTGGTTCAGCCGGGAGGTTTTCATGGAAGGCAGTGTGGAGATCCAAAGTGCCACTTAAAGTGGCCTTTTTTTACGTGGACGGTAATGTGGGGTAAGATTTTGACGCTTGACAATTTGAGGAGTTGAAAGCTCATCATTGTTAACCGGTGCTACATGTGCAAGCATAACGATGAGTCGGTGGATCAACTTCTTTTGTGCTACCCAGTGGCTATGGATTGTTGGTCCCTTTTGTTGGGCTGTTTGGAGTACAGTGGGTCATGCCTAGATCTACGAGAGAGTTGATTGAGGCTTGGAGTGGGGCGGTTGTTGGACGCCAAGCTAGAGGGTATTGGAGGATGGTGCCTCTATGTCTATGGTGGTGCTTGTGGAGGGAGCGCAACAACAGAGCTTTTGAAGGAAAGGAGGCCTCGATTGTTGTTCTCAAGCACATTGTTATTTCCTCTCTTGTCTTTTGGGGATCGGGTAGATGTTGTGGATCCTCCGAGGAGTTGATTGATTTTGTGTCTTCTTTGGCGCCTTAGGGCTTTTTATGTATTTGGGACGCATTCCCCTTTTGAACGCTTTTTATTGAAAGTTTACTTATCAAAAATAAAAATAAAAATAAATAAAAACACTCTTAAGTTCTCTCTTTTAAATAAAGTTCTTATGTTTGACAAACACTCTCTTCAAAATTAAACCACTATTCTAAAATATATTTCCAAGGACTCTTAAGTTCTCTTTTCTAAGTTATTCCATATTATTTTCAAAATACTTTTTCAAGTGACTTCTATGTTCACACTAAAATAAGTTAATACTAGACTTAATTAAACTACGTTAAACCTGATCCCTATCATGTTGCTCAAAACATCTATTTTTAAGAACCACTTCCTTTTTTTAAGGTCACATACGCCTACTGAGGCCTAGATCTTATCACTTATTGATATGGTCTAGTTTTTAAGATAATATTAAATCATGCATATCTGATGCAATATTCTATATTTTGTAAAATATTTTAACCCATGAAAGCGACATGAAATATAAGGTAACCGTGTCTCACAGATGTGTGGGGTGCCTAACACCTTCCCCATGCATAAGCAAACCCCCGAATCCATTAATCTAGTTCATGAAGGCTAAACGGTAGTCAAATATATTTAGGGCCTTTATTAGACCTCTTATGTGTCAAAATATTTAGATATCCTTACAAATCCCTAGACATTACTTAGATTACCTAACACACCTTAAATCCATGTTACGTGGCAACTCCGAATAGACATTAATCGGCCCCATTCATAATAATCATTGGCCATAGCCACTCGTCGCATTGAGTTCTTTTCTTCCCTCATACAAGTTTAGTATAAACCCCTATATAGATGTTGAGGGAAATTTCTGGGCGCGACATACACAAATTTTTGCACATCAAAACACAACAATTCAAAATCCAAATAATATGAAATTGGGTCTTTTGATTAGGCACTCAATTGGATACTCCTGCAATTTCCGACCACCACCCACCCAACGCTGAGTAAGGACACACACAAGGGCTTCACTGTAGTATCATACTAATTTAATTATATTACCTATCATACAAGTTAAAACATATAATTGAAATTCCCTAAGTATATACATATATATACACACACAAATATATGAGGAGGTATTAGTATATTACCGTTGCAACCTTAATACCCAAACGCTTCTCAGGATTTGTGGCATTTTTATCCAGTCCACGAGAGATGTATCTGACATATTCGCCCCTAAAGCTGCAAAAATAGATTTAATTAAAAAAAAAAAACACTAGGAAACCAAATGAGTAAAGATTAAAATAGTTACGTCTGCCAGTCACCAAATAGCTTCGGACGACAAATCTTGAAAAGGCACCATAATTCCTGTTAGGAAAAATAAAAAGAGCAGTCTTCTATATTAACTCCTGGTTTTGTAAACGAATAAAATGAAAAATGACAAACAAACAAGAAGTCGGCTATACATTCAGATTGTTTTGGATTGGTGTGCCAGTGACAGCCGTGCGGATATCACAAGGAATTTCAAGCAATCTTGTCGCCTTTGCTGACTTGATATTCTTAACCTCATGCGCCTAAAGAAAAACAATGAATCTACATTTAACATCTCAAATTCAAACTGGAAACTAAATACTAAATTGATCGTTTTACCTCATCAAGAAACAGGCAATCCCATTTTACTTTGCTCAAAGCTTCTGCATTATATATTATACAGGTGTATGTTGTCACAATAACACCTTTGCCCTGAAAACAAAATAAAAATATTGCAACCAAATATAGATTATTTTTTTTTTTTCGATAAATAATCGAAGGCAGCAATATAAAAGAAGCGCTCAGCAGAAAAAGGGGAGCGGACCCTTCACAAAAGAAACAAAACTAAAGACAACAAAAACACCATTACAAAGAGAGGTTGCCCAAAAATTCCATTAGGGAATCCATAGATGAACAACTTCTCCCCATCACCAAAAAATAAAGAGTGTAAAATTTTTGATTTAATCTTGCAAATAGGAGACTCCACTCCATCAAAAGCTCTCCTATTCCTCTCACGCCACAAACCCCACCATAAACAGAGCGGGGTCACTTTTGTCACTTTTGTTTATGCTAAAAACACTACTATGGAAAGAGGTCAGTTATGGAGGGATTTGGAAGATGTTACTCAAGGGGTTGCTGGTCCATGGTTGTTATTGGGTGATTGGAATATTGTTAGGTTCAATAGTGAGAAGAAGGGTGGAAGAATTCATCCTCCAAGGGTTTTTGCAGATTTTAATAATACAATTGATAAGTTGTGTTTATCTGATATGCCTGTGGCCAATGGAGTTTACACGTGGTGTAACAAAAGGTTTAGCAGTAGGAGAACACATGCTAAACTAGGTCGAAGTTTGATGAATGAGGAGTGGGCTTTGGCTTATCCTGATTCTTTTGGCTCAGAAATCAAGGGTTACTTGGGTGAAAGAACAAGATAGATGTTCCAAGTTTTTCTACCAGAAGATTAAATATCATAGAGCAAAAAGTAATTTGACAGTTATACATCAGGATGGGGTTTTGATCACTGATCCAGATGTGATTAGTAACTTGTTTGTGGCTTATTTTCAAAAGGCTTATTCAAGGGGTTGTGATAGCTTAATTGAACCGGCTCAAAAGTATATTAGAAAACCTTTGCAGGAGGAAGAGGTGCTTATGTTAGAGGCTGAAGTTACAAAAGAGGAGGTCAAAGATACAATCTTTGCGATGGGATCTGATAGAGCTCCTGGTCCAGATGGATTTACAGCTAGATTCTTTCAACAATATTGGTCAATTGTTGGGAGGATTTTACTGCAGCAGTTATTCAGTTTTTTTAAAATCCAGTCCTGGGTAAAGGCTCAAACAGTACTTTTATTACTCTGATCCAAAAGAAGAAGGATGCTAATCAGGTGACTGATTACAAACCTATTTCTTTATGTACTGTGTTTTATAAAGTGGTGGCTAAAATTTTAGCTAATCGCCTAGCTAAGGTTTTAGGGAGATTAGTTGGTAATGAACAATCAGTCTTCATACATGACAGAAGAATTCATGAAAATATCAGCATTGCTAATAAGCTCATGAAGGGGTTTGGGGCTAAGAGGACTAATCCAACACTAGCTTGGAAAGTTGATCTGAGAAAGGCTTATGACTCGGTGCAATGGACTTTTTTGCTGAAGTTATTAAAGTTATTTGGCTTTGGGGATCAGTGGATAAAATGGATTATAGTGTGTATTTCTTCAGTGTGGTTCTCTATTCTCATTAATGGTACTCCACAAGGTTTCTTTCAACCGGAGAGGGGTCTTAGGCAGGGGTGTCCTCTGTCTCCTCTTCTGTTCACATTGGTTACTGATTATTTTTCTGGCATGATGGATTTGGAAGTTCAGAAAGGTAAGGTGGTACCTTCTCAAGCAACTCTACAGGCTGGTTTACCTATTACTCATCAATTTTTTGCAGATGATCTGTTACTTGTGATTAGAGCAAATATGGGGAGTGTCTTAACTGTGAAAAAGTTGTTGACTCAATTTGAGAATACTACTGGTCTAGCTGTGAACAAAGATAAATCTGAAGTTTATCTTACTCGATCAGTTAGAAGAAGGAATTCCATTATCAGGTCCTTGGGTTGTAAGGTAGGAAATTTACCTTTCACTTATTTAGGTTTACCTATATCTGATAAAATGCTGAGGAGAGCTGATTGTTTAAGTCTGGTAGATAAAATTATTTCCATTACTTCAAGATGGGATGGGCTACATTTGTCTATGGCAGGTAGGGTGGAACTTAGTAGAGCTGTTATTATCCCAATGGTTCAGTACTGGACATCAGTTTATGCTCTTCCTATTGCTGTCTCTAGTTGCATTGAAAGGCGAATGAGGAACTTTGTGCGGGGTCATGTTGAAAATACTAAAAAGATGCACGGTATGAGATGGAAGAAGATTACTGCTCCCAAGGAGGAAGGGGGTTTGGGATTGAGAAGAATCGCAGATATTGACACTGCTGGGAAAATCAGTCTTGCGCGGGATTTCTTATTGTCTAAGGACAGGCTGTGGGTGGCATGGTTTTCAAACTGCTATCTGAAACAGGCTTCTTACTGGAATGTGATTCCTAAAGCTGCCTCTTCAGCTGTCTGGAGGAGTATTATTGATGTTAGAGAGTTTCTGAAAGCCAATTGCAGATACATTATTGGAACTGGGCAGAATGTTGAAGTATTTATGGATCCTTGGTGTGAAGGCAGGTTCTTGAGGGAACTTTTTAACCATAGGACTCTTGGGTACTTGAGTTGTGATAAGAAGATCAGTATGTGTGACTTCTACCATGGTTGATAACAATAAACAGCCTAATTTAATTGACCATCCACTGCACCTGAATGACGGCTTTGAGATTTCTACAATGCATACTTCCAGAATACCTGCACAGGACATTTAATTTTAACTATTGAGAATTACTAACAAACTTGAACTAATAAACTAGAATACATAAGAGCCTTACTGGTTAACTGTCTCTCTAAAATCCACACTTGAAAACTCTTTAATCCAATGAGGTACAAGGGATTTTGGCACCACCACCATTGCCCACTTTGCCATGTTACAATTAAATAGTCCCTTGATATGGCAACATATCTATCAAAGAAAAAAAAAATTAATTGGTTATGAAACAAATATAAAGAAAAATTTTAAAAAAATGATAAACGATATTACCATTCTGGTCTTTCCTAGACCCATATCATCAGCTACGATGCCTCCGCTGCCCGTACAATGAAGTTTCCATAACCAACGTACTCCATCAGCCTGATGAGGATATAGTCCTTCGGTAATTTCGCGAGGAAACTCATGTCGGTCATCTAAAACATTTTCCGTTTCCTTGTCTTTCCGTACCCGCCGACCTTTTCCTTTTAACTCGGCCATTTTTCCTGCTGAAGCTAAAGGCTTCAATAGCGCGATGCTAGGGCTTTGAACTCGCCTGAATTAGATCGGAATCGCCAAGGGTCCTGGAATTGTCAATGGGGTGGGCTAATATTAAACATAAATTTAATAACACAATTTCTTAAGCAAAAAAAGTTTTATAACATAATCTAGATAAATATTTGAATTCAAATATTACAAAATATCTATCTAAGTTGTGTTCAACGAGTCTTTAAAGACTCAAATTCGTTGATAATAGACTCCAATATGTTGTGCCGATTTCTTTAAATTTCAATAAAGCATGGCGCATTTTCTATGTGGTGAAGATTGAAGTTCCATGTGTTTCAAGAATACACAATTATCTCCATCATTAACTCTCTTCCAATTGTAATATTCACCATCAATAAGTAAAGAACGACTCATTGTTGTATTTCTCTCTTCAAAGAGAAAGCATGGAAAACATGTATGCATAAAATTTGAAAGGACCGGTCAAACATCTGGTCTTACTAGACTAGTAGTGTTGCTTGTTAGCATACAACCAGAGAAGATATCCACCAAAGTCAACTCTCAAAACCTTTATGCACATGGATGACTGCATAAAGAAGACCACTATAGAAGATTGGCGATTCCCTCATAAACTCGCACCGTATGGGTAGGCTAATCATGATAGAAATCTTACCTAAAATTCGTTAAAACTCTCCTAAAGGCAGGTTCCATCACAAATCACATGATTTAAATTCCCTAAAACTCAATTTCATCATAACACAAAGATTAAATAGAAACTTTTAGGCAATTGTAGTTCTCTTACTTTTACATGAACTAAAACTCTTAATATAAGAACTTCGACCCAAAATAGCATATGGAATGTTACTAAACCCATGTCCAGAAAATATAAATATCTTGATTCCTACAACCTAATAAGATGGAAATAGAATTATACAATCATTATATTGACCTAAAACTGATAACAAATGACTCAACCCAAAACGTGGTTACACAATGCCCCAGGCATGCTCCATAAAAAAATTCCTAATTTGTACTAAAGCTTTTTTTTTGCCACTGCTATGCTACAGATATCACATAAAAGAGGTTAGCACCAAGATCATAAAAAACCATAATACTTATCAAAAAATAATAATAATAAAAATAAAAATAAAAATCGTATAAAACCATGATGTCAATTCAAAATGGATTCCCAAAGACCCTATGGATTGGGGAAAGCTATCTTATAAGTATCAAACCACTACTATTAACCATATTTTGCTAAACAATGAGACCCCAGGGATCCTCCATATTTTGCTGTAGTGTAAACATTAAAACCCCAGGGATCTAACAGACCTGAGTTATAACTTATAAGCCTCCGATTCTTCTCAGTTCACACTTCTCATTCCAACCAACCAGGAAATACATACATTCTCATCTATCCCGGCCTACATTAAAAATCCTAAGAATATTCCTGTCCTCTGAGCTTAATGTTCTTGGCACCTAAAGATGGATTTGGCAACAGTTTTATGATAGCTCATTAACTCTTGGCTCCCAACAGACTCGTCAAAACTCTAGAATAATCATCTTTGAAAGTGACAAATCATAGACTTCAATTCAGATTAAATTTTAAGCAGTTTACAACCACTGCTAATCTGGAAATTCCGCTGATTCAAACCTCTGACTGGCAACACAAGTCAGATTTTTTTTTTTGGTGGGGTGGGGGGTTATGGTACCTTACGGGGTTCCTTTGAATGGTATTTGAATGGTATGGACATTTATCTTCCAATCAAATGGTAATACCAAAAATGCTAATAAGCATGATATAGTTGGAAACGTCAAAGTCCATCCGGTAAATAAACAATTTCCAATATAACAATCATGTAATTATTTCATTATAACAAGCGGATCAAAAAATTTTTATTTGAACTTACTCAAGATGTAAAAGGTTGACAGAAGCTCTATGGAAATATTATGGCAGTTAAATTTGCGAACCACTCAGTCATACAACATCAAATTTTGACAAAGATCCAAGTCTGTAGCTCATTTCACATCAATAGACATATATATTAAATAACAACATATTCCTTACGCTTTTGAAAACAAACTGAAACATCAATTCACCAGTTTGGACGAATGTCAAGATTAATATGCAGCCAAAACTTAAATCCCATCACAAGTAAAGGATTAAAATTATAGCCAAAACGAAAGGTGCTAATATATGTAGTATGCATACCAAGAAAAATAAAAAAATTAAAGAAAAGAAAATGAAAAACCTATTCGCTTAATTGAATTATAATTTCATTGTTTAGAAACTGAAACATTAAAAACAACATCATTCAAATTTGTTATTTTCTATTCTTTTTCTCTGTTTTCCCAGCAAACAAACAGAGGTAGAGAAAGAAAAGAACAAAAGAAGTAAGAAACTGGAAATTGGCGATCTGAAATTGAACAAGAAATACTCAATCGAACCCTAATTACAGTAGTTCAAAAAAATTGAAATCGATATATATAGATATTTAACAAGAATTAATTAAAAATGAGAAATTGAGGAACAACAAAGGTCTTGAAGATTTGAGAGTATACCGAGAGCATACCGAAATCAGATTGATGGTTGGGCAAGGACGATGATCTCTGAGAGAGATCTTAGAGAAAGAGAAGCAGTTCGACTGTAGAGAGAGAGAGAGAGAGAGAGAAAAGCGCGTGTCTTCGGAGAAAGAAAATGAGAGATCCCTTGGTCAATTATAAATATAGATTAAAAAAAAAAGGCTATTTATGGCAATTTGATAAGGCCTCATTTCCATGTGTGCATAGAGAGACCCTGTAGTATATCAAAAGTGTTTTATAAAAATTTTAGGTGATAAAAGATAAAATTCAAATGGAGCTGATTTTAAATGAGCTCATACTTTTCTCTTAAAAGATAATAATAATAAAAACTACACAAAAATTAGTTCCCTAGTTATTATTAGATGTAAGGAAAGGATTAATTAATTAGTACTAGTAATCAAGTACTGATTATAAGTAATTTCTTATCTATCTTTTAAAATGAAAGGTAAAAATTCATGTCTTAAAAATAAAATTGTACTATATTAGTAAGAAATAAATAATTTATGTTTATGTTAATTTCTCAAAAAAAAAAATTAATAATAATAATAAATAAATAAATAAAACCTTGCATTTGGTAGGTGAAAAAGCATTGTTGCGTATAACAAAGAGGAAGGACGAAAAGAGGAATGAGATTATGGGACATCCTCCGTCAGCATCTTCTTCCATTCAAAAGTGAGAGTAGAGAATTGCAATATTTCTTAGATAAAATGTTCGTTCATTTTATTTACTGAAAATAAAACATTGATTCATTTTCTTTGTCATGTTCACAAAAGCTTTTTATATTTTCTTGCACAAGAAATTCCGATACTTTTGAAGAATAATTTGTTACTAGTTTTTATGATCATTCGGTTTGACACGGTGTTATACAAAAAATTTCATAAAAAGCTTAAACAGAATAAATGTTAGTGTTCAGATATGTTATTGATTTATAATTATAATATTCAACTTTTAAAAGACTGGAAGGCTTCAATAAACACACACACACATATATATATATATATATATATGTTGCCCAAGTTTAGACTCTAGGGGGCGGTGAATAGAGTTTATGCAAACTATGGTCAATTTTCGAATATTCTAAAATTAATTAAAGGCAAATCCAATTTCTTTGACAGATAATGAATAATATAATCTGAATTTTAGGCTTCAATAGTCCGTATAAATGAAGAGGCATATCAAGACATACATAAAGCAATAAGTATAGAGATAGAGATAGAAGTTGCAAACATGTACTCATTGATTTTTAGCGAGGTTCGGAAACTCCTACTCCTTGGCTCAAGACCCCTCTTGAGACTTCCCAATCCACTATGGCTTCTCCTTGCGGGTGGAGAGCAATCCTCTTACAAGAAGCTCTTCCTAGCTTCTAAGTGCTAAGAGAAACACATTCTCTTAATCTTCCTTGAGCCACACCAGCCCTTACAAGTTTTGAAGAATATAGATGGAATACAAGATGATCTCTCTCTCAGATCTGAAGTACAAGATTTAGCTCACTCTAGAGTATGTATGAATAACTTGAAGCTCAATACTCTTTTGATGAAATGAAGTGTATGTGTATGATTAAAGCTTTATGATTGCAAGGCTTTCTTTCTCAATGTCTGCAACTTCTTTTAAATGAAGTTCTTAAGTGTTCTTATAGACTTTCAGACATGTCTGATAGAGTTATAGCTGTTGGACACGCATCCCAAGAACAAAATGTGAGTTTGAATTTTGAAAAACGTAGCTTCGGTCGACCGAAATGAAACACATTTGTGTTTTGGTAGACCGAAATGGTTTGAGGTTGGACATCATACTCTCAGTACTCTCGGTAGACCGAAGTAAAGCCTCGTTTTGTTTCGGTCGACCGAAATGGTTTGAGTTTTAATATCATGCTCTCAGTACTCCTGTTTCGGTAGACCGAAGTAAAGCCTTATTTGGTTTTGGTCGACCGAAATGGTTCAAGCTTGAATAGCATACTCTCAGTACTCTAGGTTCGGTAGACCGATGCATAAGAGCTTCCTATTTCGGTAAACCGAAATGGACTTCTATTTTCAGATAAGGATATGCTTGAGTCCTTTGTTCCTTAGTCATGATGAATGAGATGATATGCATGATGATGGAGAGATTGAGCTTAAAGATGTTCATATACACTTTAACAAAGCATCCTAAGAAGCTCACCAACCTAGCTAGCCCCATCTTGATGTCTTGTGATGACTTGATTTTAACTGCTTAGTTCTTTGCTCATGCCTTAATATTGCTTCTACAGTTTTGTCCTTGCATTGTAGTGCTTGTTTTGATAAATACTTTGCTCTGTAATTTCACTCAAGAAGACATTAGTAATCATAGAACATCATTAATGAATTATTATCATCAAAAACCTTTGATTCAAGGTCAACAATCTCCCCCTTTTTGATGATGACAATTCATTGATGTGTTCGTCAAATGAGAATAAGTATGTGAGTGATTCTCCCCCTATCAATATGCATACTTAAGATAAATAAGAGATTTACAAATCTCCCCCTTTCTTTGTGCAATCATTTAACCATTGTTAGAATTGAAAGCATAATATATTTAGGACATATAAACAAATCATGAAAGAATTGAAGGTATGAAAGCATATAAGTTTTAATTGCCAGAAACATGTATTTTCATTAATTCACGAATTTAAGGACAAGATACATCATCTATTCCCCAATTCCCCAATGTTCCAATTACAACTTACATTCGCAACTACATCAATTTTTCAACAATCAATATTCTATATTCCTGCACAAAGCACAAACGTCAAAAGTCACAGCATCAACCAGCAACACACACATCAATTTCTCCCCCTTTAGCATTCATCAAAAAGATAGGGGGGTATTAGATCATCAAAAGTGAGGAAGTCCCGTGACACGGAGATCAGCAAGGTCTTTCTTCGCGAGATCGACTTCATTGGCTACTTCCTCTAGTCGAAGGCGCAGGTCGAGAATGTTTTCCTTGTTTTCTTTGCCAAGGGCAAGGTGTTCTTTAGAGAGAGCAATACTCTCAAGTAGAAGCTCACGGATGAACCGTTCGTTGGAGGAAGGTATATGCATGGATTCCTGTTCTTCCTCTTCTTCCTCGTCAACCTCTTCATCCTGTATTTGCTTTTCTACATTTACACCTTCTTCAGCACCTATAGCTTGGTGCGCTGCCATATTAATGTCTTGGCCTTCATCTACTGGATCTCTATGTTTGGGATCATACCAAATCTTGTGTGCGGACTTTTTGAGACCCATTCGACTTAACAAATCTCAGTCAAACCTGTAGAGATTAGTGAGCTCCTTTTTGTCCTCGCCTTTTATTCGGATTTTGAATGCTTGCAAGATTAGGGTAAGCGGCATAGCATAAAAGAGATGAGTTTTTGCTTTCTTGGCGCAATCGATCATATGATGAAAGATAAGAAAAGCGAGATCGAATTTCTTGCCATTTAGAACACATCAGATAAGAAATGCCTCCATGAATGAGACATCGGAGCGACCACTAGATTTAGGAAGGATGCAATGAATGATGACATGATAAATGAGATGGGCTTATACCGTCAATTGACTTACATAGATTTTGTCAATATTGTTGGTAGGAAATTGGCTCATTTGTTGAACGACTTGGTAAGGGTCAAATCCTTCCCCGTCATACCAATCATAGGCAGTGTAATAGGTGATATCGCCATGAGGAAGGTTAAGAATGCGACGAATAGCTGACAGAGGGAGTGTGATCTGAGTTCCTACAACGAAGGAAAGAAAAGTGTTCTCCCCTGCTATCCTTTCAAGATAAGTATAGAACAGCCTAACCAGCTTGGGGTAAACATGAACTTTGATGGATAAGAATTCACCTAACCCTATAGCTTCAAAGAGAGAGAAGGTGTGAGTTATGAGTTCCTCAGTTTCAGTTTTGTCAAAGAATTTTCCTTTTTCAACTATTTTGTAAAGAAACTTGGTTTCATAAACCTCTTTGAATACAGGTTCATGAAATAGGCGCATAGCTGGGGCAGGATAAGAGTCGGAAGGAACAGGATTTGGGGGATTAGATCCTCCAGCTTCAGTGTCATGTGTGTGCCTAGTTCTCTTAGATGTATTCTTCCGGGTTGCCATTTGGTTCACTTGACTGATTAGAGGTAATGTGAAAGGATGACAGAGATTTATATAATATACCCTATCTATCAGAGATGTAACAAGAGATGATAACAATAGATGTATAAGCTCAGGGATAAAACATACGAAAAGATTAGAGATTTGAATGTGCAACTTACCTTGAGAGATTATGAGTGATGCGCATGAGAAGATGGAGGAAGAAAATCGCAGGAGATTTGCACGACGTGAGGCGCCTCAGAGAATGTGAGAGATAGGTGCGCGAATAGGGTTTTGAGATTTAAAACCAAATATTGATTTCGCGGGTCTTTAACACTTAGAGATGGGCCATGTATGATGGGGCCCGAAGGTTCGGTCGACCGAAATGACTTCATCGGTCGACCAAAATGACTTTTATAGAGAATGTCTAGATCTTATTTCGGTCGACTGAACTACGATTTCGGTCTACCGAAGTGCTGATCCTGAGGCTTGATTTACTGATGATGTTGAGGTTCAGTTGCTATTATGTATCTCACTCTCTATAGCCATTCCGATTTTTCGCCGAAGAGTGCAAAACCTATCTTCTTGAAGAGGCTTTGTGAGAATATCCGCCAATTGATTCTCGGTGTTGATGAACATCAGATTAATATCGCCTTTAGAAAACATAATCACTTAGAAAATGATATCTGATCTCAATATGCTTAGTTTTAGAGTGTTGGATGGGATTCTTTGATATGCAAATGGCGCTAGTGTTATCACATTTGATAGGAATTTTGTCGAAAAATAAACCAAAGTCTTCTAGTTGTTGTTTGATGTAGAGAATTTGTGCGCAACAGCTACCTGCAGCAACATATTCAGCTTCAGCGGTGGATAATGCTATTGAATTTTGTTTCTTACATGACCAAGACACAAGTGATTGACCAATAAAGTGACACGCGCCGCTTGTGCTTTTTCTTTTAACTTTACAGCCAGCAAAGTCGGATCCGTAAATCCTACGAGTTCAAAAGATGTGTGCCTAGGATACCATAAACCAAGGTTAATAGTACCATTCAAGTATTTGAAGATGCGTTTGACGGCATTTAAATGAGATTCCTTGGGGACAGGACTGAAACCTAGCACATAAGCACACATTAAACATTATGTCCGGCCTACTAGCCGTTAAATAAAGAAGACTTCCGATCATTCCTCTATATTTCTTAATATCAACTTCCTTACCTTTTTCATCCTTATCAAGTTTTAAGGAAGAACACATAGGAGTTTTAGCATGTTTGGCATCTTCCGAGCCAAATTTTTTTAGCAAATCTTTGGTATACTTTGATTGGGAAATGAATATTCCATCAAGAGTTTGTTTGATTTGCAGCCCCAAGAAGAAGTTGAGTTCACCCATCATACTCATTTCAAACTTGTTTTGCATGGAAGAGGCAAACTCTTTACTTAGAGTGTCATTTGTTGATCCAAAAATGATGTCATCAACGTAAATTTGAATGATCAACAAATTTCCGTTTATGATTTTAGTAAAGAGTGTGTTATCAATCTTACCTCTACAAAACCCACTTGTAAGTAAGAACCCACTAAGTCTTTCATACCAAGCTCTAGGAGCTTGTTTCAAACCATATAAAGCTTTTGTTAATTTAAAAACATGGTTTGGAAAATCATAACTTTCAAAGCCCGATGGTTGCTCAACATATACTTCTTCATCAATAAAATCATTTAAGAAAGCACTTTTTACATCCATTTGAAATAATTTGAAATTTTTGTTAGATGCAAATGTAAGTAGCATTCTTATGGCCTCAAGTCTAGCAACGGGAGCAAAGGTCTCTTCATAGTCTATACCTTCTTCTTGGTTATACCATTTTGCAACAAGTCTAGCCTTTTTCCTAATGATAGTTCCCGACTCATCCTTTTTGTTTTTAACAACCCATTTTGTCCCAATGATTGTTTTATTTTGAGGTCTTGGGACAAGATTCCAAACCTTGTTCCTTTTGAATTGAATGAGTTCTTCTAGCATTGCCAAAAGCCAAGATTCATCATTTTCAGCCTCATATATATTTTTAGGTTTGAATTGAGAAACGAATGCCACGAAATTGCATACATTTCTTAATTTTGACCTTGTGCTGACACCTTTGGATGGATCACCAATAACTTGGTCAATGGGATGATTATGAACTAACTTCCATTCATTTGGAGTAGTTTTGTTTTGAGAGGTATCATCACTTGAATTGGAACTTTGATAGATATCAATAGGAGACTCATTTATGTTGAGATCATTGATACTCTTCTCAAGCTCTCTAGGGGACCTATTTGTATCAAGTTCATTGGTACCCTTTTCAAGTTCAACTTCTTCATAATTGTCCATCACACTTTTTTGTGAGAGAGGTTGGAGATTCATCAAACACAACGTGTATGGATTCAACCACAACTAAGGTCCTTTTGTTATAGACTCTATATGCTTTACTTCTAGAGGAATATCCAAGAAAAATGCCTTCATCGGATTTAGCATCAAATTTTCCTAGATTATCTTTGTCATTGAGAACAAAGCATTTACATCCAAAAACTTTGAAATAGCCTATGTTAGGTTTTCTTTTATTCCAGAACTCATAGGGTGTTTTGTTGAGAATCTTTCTAATGACAACTCTATTTATCACATAGCATGAAGTATTTACAGCTTCAGCCTATAGAGATCTAGGTGATTTGTGCTCATTAACCATGGTTCTAGCCATTTCTTGAAGAGATCGATTTTTCCTTTCAACAACACCGTTTTGTTGGGGAGTCCTAGGTGCCGAAAGATTATGATTATAGCCATTTTTGTCGCAAAACCTTTCAACGTCTTGGTTATCAAACTCTCTACCCCTATCACTTCTAATGGATTTAATTTTATATTCCTTTTCATTTTCGACTCTTTTGCAAAATTTTGAAAGAATTGAATGAGCCTCATTTTTGCGAGCAAGAAAGAATACCCAAGTGAATCTAGAGTAGTCATCTACGATCACAAAGACATAGATTTTACCACCAAGGCTAGCAATTCTCTCTAGTCCAAAAAGATCCATGTGGAGTAATTCAAGTGGTTTTGAAGTGGTTATGTCCTTTTTTCTTTTAAAGGAAACTTGATTTGCTTACCAATTTGGCAAGCACTACACGTTTTGTCTTTTGAAAAATTTGTCTTGGGGAGACCTTTGACTAGTTCATTTTTAGACAATCTTGAAATTAAGTCCATACTTACATGACCTAACCTTCTATGCTACAACCAACTATGTTCATTGGATGACATGAAACATTTAACATCTTGTTCTTGAAGTTCACCTAAGAGTAAGGTATATACGTTACCACTTCTAGGAGCACAAAATATTTGGGATTCATTTCTTTTAACAATGCATTTATCTGATTTAAAAGTTACATCAAAACCATTATCACAAAGTTGACTAACACTAAATAGATTATGCTTTAGACCCTCAACAAGTAAGACATGTTCAATTGATAAGGAGGGAGAAATACCTATGATCCCAATACCAATTACCTTCCCTATAGAGTTATCTCCAAATGTAACGCTTCCTCCATTGTATGCTTCTAGAGAGGAGAATTTTGCGCGGTCACCCGTAATATACCTTGAACATCCGCTATCTAGAAACCATTTATCCTTAGAAGATGTGGAGAAATTGACACCATCCTACAAAAGAGATTTCAAAATTTTTCACTTGGTACCCAAATCTTGTTGGGTCCATGGGAGTTAGCTAAAGGCATATATGTTCCTTTAAGAACCCACTTCTTTATGAACTTTGGCTTTCTCTTTGAGCATTCTTGAATAAGATGACCTATTCTTTTACAATAATTACATCTAGAACTTTTGTTTTTGCTTTTAACAAAGTGGTTGGTCAAAGGCTCTTTCTTATTCAATAGACATGCTTTCTTGTCAAAAGGGTCATATCCTAACCCATTTTTATTAAAGAAACTTCTTTGAGCACCTAGCATAAGTTCTAGATTTTTGGTACCTTGAGTGAACTTTGCTAGATCATCAATTTGGTTTTCAATGACTAACTTTAAGGAAGCATTTTCAGAGATGAGTTCGGGAGATCCTGTTTCTTTAAGCAAGGTGCATTCCTTTTTCAAGCACTCATTTTCATTAAGAAGATTTTGAAGTTTGTTTTCAATGATAAGTTTCTCTCTTCTTTGAGAAGCACATTTTTTGACCATTTTACCAAGTTCGTCATGCAAATCTTTAAAACCATCAAGTAATCCATTATATGCATCAACTAAGTCATCATAAGACATTTCACATTCGGAGGAAGAGTCATAATTTGAGTTTACCTCACCCTTATTTGCCATGAGACAAAGAATTGCCTTTTCCTCATCACTTTCGGATCCATTTGAGTCGTCATCTTCCCAAGTGGCTTGCATTGCTCTTCTCTTTTTCTTTTCCTCTTTGTAGGCATGACAATCAGCTTTAAAGTGTCCCGGTTTTTCACAGTGAAAACAGGTAGAGGTATCACGTTTGCCTTGCTCATTAGATAAGTCTCCCTTTTTGAACCTTCCCTTGTTGAATTTCTTTCTAAGAAGAATTTTTTTGAAGGATTGAGTGATGAGAGCTAGATCATCGTCTTCACCTTCGTTGTCGACAACTTCCTTTTCTCTTGAAGATACTTTAAGAGCAATTTCTTTCTTTCGATGATGATCTCCTTCTCGATCTTTTAGAGTGATTTCCCATGTGAGAAGAGAGCCAAGAAGTTCATCCAACTCAAGTGTGTTGAGATTGTGAGCTTCTTTGATTGCCGTTGCTTTTGCATCCCATTTTTCGGGTAGGCTTCTTAGAACTTTCCTTGCAAGATCAGAGTTAGTCATAGTTCTGCAAAGATGTTTCAAGCCATTTATGATGTCAGTAAATCTCACAAACATTGCACTAATAGTCTCATCTTCATTCATATGAAACAATTCATATTGATGTATAAGAATGTCAATTTTAGATTCCTTGACCTGTGAGGTTCCTTCATAAGTAATCTGAAGTTTATCACAGATTTCTTTAGCTGTGGTGCAAGTAAAGACTCTATTATATTCACTAGGACTTATAGCACAATTCAGATTGACTTTGGCCTTGGCATTCAAGGAGATAAGTTTATAGTCCTCTGTATTCCATTCAGCTTCAGTTTTAGGGACCCTTTCAGCACCAAATCCTTTCATTGGAACAAAGGGTCCATTAACAATAACCAACCAGATTTGATAGTCTACGGATTGGAGGAAATCTATCATTCTATTTTTCCAATAGCCATAATTTGTACCATCGAACCAAGGGGGTCTAGTATTGGACTGACCTTCTTAAGGTGACCATTTAAGTTTGCCATGATCGATCTCTAAGGCACTTAAGCTTTTCAAATAGAGAGCTACCTCTGATACCAATTGTTGCCCATGTTTAGACTCTAGAGGGGGGGTGAATAGAGTCTTTGCAAACTATGGTCAATTTTCGAATATTCTAAAATTAATTAAAGACAAATCCAATGTAATCCAAATTTTAGACTTCAATAGTCCGCATAAATGAAGAGGCATATCAAGACATACATAAAGCAATAAGTATAGAGATAGAGATAGAAGTTGCAAACATGTACTCAGTGATTTTTAGTGAGGTTCGGAAACTCCTACTCCTCGGCTCAAGACCCCTCTTGAGACTTCCCAATCCACTATGGCTTCTCCTTGCGGGTGGAGAGCGAACCTCTTACAAGAAGCTCTTCTTAGCTTCTAAGTGCTAAGAGAAACACCTTCTCTTAGTCTTCCTTGGGCCACACCAGCCCTTACAAGTTTTGAAGAATATAGATGGAATACAAGATGTTTTCTTTCTCAGATCTGAAGTACAAGATTTAGCTCACTTTAAAGTATGTATGAATAACTTGAAGCTCAATACTCTTTTGATGAAATAAAGTATATGTGTATGATTAAAGCTTTATGATTGCAAGGCTTTCTTTCTCAATGTCTGCAACTTCTTTTAAATGAAGTTCTAAAGTGTTCTTATAGACTTTCAGACATGTCTGATAGAGTTATAGCTGTTGGACACGCATCCCAAGAACAAAATGTGCATTTGATTTTTGAAAAACGCAGCTTCAGTCGACCAAAATGGTTTGAGGTTGGACATCATACTCTCAGTACTCTCGGTAGACCGAAGTAAAGCCTCGTTTTGTTTCAGTCGACCGAAATGGTTCAAGCTTGAATAGCATACTCTCAGTACTCTAGGTTCGGTAGACCGATGCATAAGAGCTTCCTATTTCGGTAGACCGAAATGGACTTCTATTTTTAGATTAGGATATGCTTGAGTCCTTTGTTCCTTAGTCATGATGAATGAGATGAAATGCATGATGATGGAGAGATTGAGCTTCAAGATGTTCATATACACTTTAACAAAGCATCCTAAGAAACTCACTAACCTAGCTAGCCCCATCTTGATGTTTTGTGATGACTTGATTTTGACTGTTTAGTTCTTTGCTCATGCCTTGATGTTGCTTCTACAGTTTTGTCCTTGCATTATAGTGCTTGTTTTGATAAATGCTTTTCTCTGTAATTTCACTCAAGAATACATTAGTAATCATAGAACATCATTAATGAATTATTATCATCAAAAACCTTTGATTCAAGGTCAACAATATATATATTGGAATTACTTGAATTTTCATTCTTTCCTCTCCCATCATTTGGAGTCGATGCGCAGCAAACCCATGAGCAATAGTATTATTATGCAGGCACCGTGACCCATTTCACCAAACAAACATATGAGCATCACACACACACACACACACACACACACACACAACACAACACATTGCAATACAAAAAGAAAAAAAAGTACAGAGATTTTTTATTATTCTTTCTTTCCTATATATTAATTAGATACACTATTTCCTCGTATGATGTAACTGAAGCAAAGAAGAATACAAGGAGCTCTGAGCATAAGAGCCTCCAATTAGAAACACTTTTCTATCTTAACAACAACAACAACAGCAGCAACAACAACATGGTGACTAAGTTAATCTCTTTTTCGAGCTGGAAAAATGGAATAATTGAAGCAAAAAGAAATCTAAAGATTAGGAGCTATGACTACAAGAGCCTCCAATTAGACGCGCCTGCTCTATCCGGGGAAAAACAGTAACGTGGTTGAGGAAGTTCTCTCTTCTTCCAAGCTGAAAAATGGCATGTTAGAAGGAAAAAATAATCTTATTAAAATATTTACTTCAAAGCCTGTTCTATCTTGGCTCGGATCTTCTGCTTTAACACAGATATCTCTGTCTCTAGTCCAAATATTCTGTTAAGAGCATGCATATTCTCCAGTATTTCATTCAGAGTCTGGCTGTCAGTCCCATCACATTTCAGGTGCTGCATTGGACCGTCAAGGAGCTTGTTCACCATACCCGCACTAAGATTATAAACCGCTGCCTTGTTCTTCTTTGAGATATCACCACCGATCTTTGATAAACAGTTGTCCAGCTCTGAAGCCCTAATTCTTTCAGCATATGCTCTAAGCTTCTTGATAGTTGGAACAGTCTCGAGGGAATCCATCCGCCTTCAAATTGTTTCACTTCTTGAATGATAATTGCCTGTGCTTCCATTGCTTTCTGAAACCGATCTTCCTTGTTAGCTGCCACAACTTCCTTGAGATCATCCACATTGTAAACACGTGAAGTTTCAAGATCTGAGATGCACGATCCCACATTTCTAGGAACAGATATATCGATGAAAAGCCTCCGCCCTTCAATTTGATGGCTTGCAGGGGGGATAATCTGAACATTTTCTTTCAATAACAATGGTGTTTTTGAAGCGGTACAGGTGAAAACCACACCAGCTTCTGCAACACATGACAGCAATTCTTGGAGAGGCTTTTAGACAATTTCAACATCATTAAGCCCTTCATGAATGGCAATAACCCTATCCTCAGTTCTATTGACAACGACCATTTTTCTGCACCCTTTTGCAACCAAGTGCTTGATCACGATTTTCCCCATCTTGCCCGCTCCAACAACCAACACTCTGGCATTAGCATAAGATGACTCAGGGAGCTTCATAAGGGCAAGATCCACAGCAGCTGAGCTGACTGAAACTGACCCTGAGGAAATGCTAGTCTCTGTTCTCACCCGTTTCCCAACAGTGATTGCATGCTTAAACAGCCTACTGATTTTCTTACCAAAGCCAGGGACTCCTTGCCCCACATGTACAACTTGTCTTACCTGAGCAAGAATTTGACCTTCTCCTAGAACAATAGAATTGAGCCCAGCAGATACTTCAAACAGGTGCTTTGTGGCATCTTTGTTATACAGCAAAAACTGGTGTTGACAAAGCTCTGAAACAGGAACTCCACTCATTTGTCAATAGGTAGACAAATCTTCTCACTTCAACATAAACACACACACACACACACATTCAGGATCATTACTTGGTGCAATAGTAAAATTTGGGTTGCCAATTGTGATAACACCAGTTCAAGTCTGAGGGCACCAAAGGTTCATTCCCCAGTTCACCTCAATCAGCACCCTACATGCCCAGACTATCATTAGTAAAGTCCTATATATATATATATATATATATCAGCATATGTATATATACATACATGTATTTTTAAGCACACTTTATACAATTGGAAACTTCAAGTCTCCATCACAATTGTTTTGAAGGACAAATTTGCATAAGTAGTTTAATTTATACCACACTAGTCCTTTTTCTTGATAAATAGTCAAGACTACACCCCTAATCACCTTGCATTTTAGGTAGACCTACCCCTTATCCTTCCTGGGAATCTATATTGACGAAAAGAATAAAGGAACGTAGACAATGTTCGATGGCAAACCATCTGTAAAGGCTCAGAGCCTTGGATAATTATCACCATTTAAACTGATAAGTTTCTCTCTAGGGGGCCATATGGTTCGACCCCTAGATAGACCATTTGTGAAGGCTTTAACATATACATACGGACATATGTAGAAGGAAGGATAGTTCCCCTTTTTCTCTCTAATTACACAAGAGAATAAAATCGCATAGAGACCAATACGTCAGTGGCTTTGCGGTACCAGACCCCTACTTCCCAAGGGGAGGTCAGGCGTTCTAGCCTCAATGAAGGCATGTGTGTGCGAGTACCAACTAAGAAGAAAAAAATCAAATAGAGCAGACAGGTACCTTTGACATCCACTAAGTCACTTCTTTAACTCCATGATGCTGAGATAGAACCACAAAATATATTTCCATTCTGTTACAGGTACTAAGAATGGCAGCTTCTTCTATATGATTCAAAGCACATAATTCGCCAATCGCTTGAGGCCATTGTGCTTCTGGAATTGAAACTTTCTCACGTATCTCAACTGGTGCTGTGTGAACATTGAGCCCGATAACCACAATACTGCTGCTTTCTTTTGTGTATCCTGGGGGAAAATATTGAATAATTCAACAATCAACAATCCACAAAAATTTCATGTTGATTCTAAGAGGCATATGAACAACTACAATGAGAAAACAAAACTGTTTTTTTTTCCTTTGCTTTTTCACTCCTTTCTCAAAGATATTTACTTGGAAGTAGTAAAGATATCAAATATCCTGATTTGTATCTATGAATAAGCACTCTAAATAATTCTACCCTACAATTTAAGGCAATGGATTTTTTTTTTATTATTATTTTTTTTAACTTTAATTTTATTACCTTGTCAATAGGTTATATAGACAAATAAAATATACTATTATTCTCTATGATTGATATATAGCTATACATAAGGCGAGTTATACGTAAGGCACACTGATACAAGCTTTCTAAAGTGACCTCCTATTTGTGTTAAAACATATTTTCCCCCCAATAAAGATTGGCTTGTTTAGTACATGAATCCATCTGATCCAAGCATTTTGATCTGAGCTCGAGTACTACTTTGTTCAATGTGCAATCTAAAAATGGCAATCAGCTTGCTCGTGTAGTTAAAGCTCGACTTGATAAATACCAAGCCCCAATATTGGAATTTGCTTGACTAATTAATATCGTCAACAATCTTATAAGCCTCTAATCAAACAGTTGGTTCAAGTAGCTTGGTTGTGTCTTATGGCACAAACTAAGATGATTAAAAAATTTAGAAAAACAGCCCAAATGAGTACCATTTGGGCACAAATTCAGCTAAGAAACAATTTCAATTAAGAAAAAAAGAAATGCCTGTGTCCCAATTTCAAATAATATAAGTCCCGATTTCAAATAATAGGGGATAAAAATAAAAAATAAAAAATAAAAAAATAAGAAACAGAAAATAAATTGCGAAATGTAATGAACACTGATTGGAGAATTAACTCACTCTCTGCAGCTAAAGTCTTGAGTAGTTCGAGACCGGAAACACTGAACGCCTTTGATTCGGTCCTATCATGGTGAACTGAAGTGTCCAAAGCAACCCTAACCTCACAAGTAGGGTTCAAAGAAAGTGGTCTCTTAGAAACCATTGTTTCAACTTTCAAAGGCTTGTTGTTGCAAAATCGAATAGAAGAAGGAACAAAAGAAGGAGTTCAAGAATAGGAAGTGGAGGCACCGCAACGAAGGAGTGTTGTAGAATCCATATTCGGCTTCATCTTCAACTTCGCCAAAGAGGTCGCGAAACAACTTGCGATCGCCATGGGAACGCCAGCTAATGAGCTTCAAAACCCTAATATCAGAGCAGGTAGAGGTGAAAATTTGAGATTTGAGAGAGACAGAGAGTTCAACGATATTTTCAAACGTCGGTTTGGTTAATTGGTGCGAAAAATTTGACTGAGACACTCTTCGACTTTCTACATTCACTTCACGTTGTCGGTTTGGTAAACGCGTCTGGTCCTCTTTCTCTCTCTCACACACGCACTAAATTAGAAAAACATGTTTTTGAACATTTGTGTCAAAGATGGTTTGCGTTTATTAGTATGGAAGTAAAAGTAAGAGTGCTGAAAATCAACATTAAAAAATAGAAAAAACAAATACTATATATAGTTATTTATTTAAATAAATAATTTGAAATACTCTACTGTTATCTTGTTGTAAGTTCGCACTATTTGTTTTGATTTTTTTTTATTTGTTCATTTGAATATCTTGACTTAAAAATTTGTTTAGAGCTTTTAAAAAAAAAAAAAAAAAAAAAGTACTTGTCAAAATTATATGTTTTATTTGTAAAAATATGTTTAGTTATCATAAACAACACCTACTACTACATAATAGTCAAATACAATTGAATAAAAAATTTAGTAAAATGTTTTGACCAGAGTGAACTGAAGAGTGCTGATACAAAGTTACTAATACAATATCAGGTGAAGTGTTTTAATCAAAGTGAACATAATTACATGAAGTGTTCTGATCGAAATCTGATTGATTCTTAAAGTGGTGTTCTGATCGAGGTGTGATTGATTCTTGAAGGGGTTCTATTCTGATCAAGGACGAGGGGTCTTATGTGAAATGTTCTGACACATCATCTCAAATATTATGTGAAGTGTTTTGATCAAGAATTGACACATCACATATAACACATATAACGTGTAAAGTGTTTTGATCAAGAGGTATCGGACTGGTACATATTGCTGTAAAGTGTTTTTGATTTAACCAAAGTGAAAGAAATATTATCATCAAAGTGACTTAGTGTACATATATAGAGCAGGAATGCACAACATGATGTGAAGTATTCTAACCAAAGTAAAGTGTAACTCATAAATTATACCTCCAGTTCTCACTTATTTGAAAAGAAATGTTAGAAAGATAATTCTAACTCCCGTTTTAACAACTTTTCAACAAAGATCAGCATAAAGCTCAGAAATTTTACATAAACAAATCATGGATATCTGCGGTTCTAGGTTTCCTCTATCTACAAGAAGATCTATTACTTGAAAGCTTAATGGAACTTCAACTCTAACAAGGGCACTTCACCACGTCGCCAATTTGTGTATTGGGCTGTGGACACTTAAAAGAAACCAGTCAAGACTTGTCCTGAAACATATTTCCCCAAATAAAAGATTGGATTTGTTTATAAACATGAATCATTCCGATACAAGCATTTTGATCTGAGCTCGAGTACTCTTCATTATGCAATCTTAAAATGGCAATGAACTTGGTTATATCTTACGTGTTATGGCCCAAACAAAAATGATGAACAAGTTAGAAAAACAACAAAAACTAGTACCATTTGAGCACAAAATAAGAAACAATTTCATTTAAGAAGAAAAGCAAAGACTATGTCCCAATTTCAAATAACAGGGGATAACAACAAAAATTGGAGAAATAAAAAATAAAAATAGAGGCAGAAAATAAAATGAGTATTGATTTGAGAATTGACTCACCCTCTGTAGCTGAAGTCTGGAGCAGTTCGAGAGCAGAAACACACGCCTTTGATTCGATCGTATCATCGTGAATTGAAGAATCCAAAGCACCCTCACATGTAGGGTTCAAAGAAAGTGGTCTCTTGGAAACCATTGTTTCAACTTTTAAGGGCTTGTTGCACATTCGAATGCCAGGACGACGAAAAGGAGGAGTTGGAGAATAGGAAGTGGAGGCACTGTAACGAAGGAGTATCCATCTTCATCTCTGCGAAAGAGATCACAAAGAGAACCGTGACCGCCATTAATGTTCTATAACATTTAACACTGTGTTTGGAATGCTGGATTTGTTGGGATTTGGATTTAGAAATAGGATTTACAATGTTTGGAATAATCGGATTGTGAAAGATATGGGATTTCAAATACTGTTTTTGATGTGTTTCAAATCCTGTGTGCTACTCAATCTCCAACTGTCTTTTTCTCTTTCTCGTCTAACCCTATCCTATTAAATATATACTATCATATCTCTATCTCCGTTATTTAATTAACTCTATATTATTTTCTCATAGAACTGTTTACCAACATTATTTTACTTTTTTAGCGATTTTTTTTAAGTATGTTGGTCATGTTTAATAAGTTAGTTTTTTAATTAAAAAATAATTCCTCTTCTTTTACGTGATCTGTCAAATAAGTAAATTTTATATTTCAGTTATATCATATATCATGTAGTCCTTCTTTTTGTTTGTTGACAATAAAAATATTTTATTTATCATTTAAACAAGGGTAAAAATGGTATAATATTATTTTTATTTCAAATTCCTTTTTAAATTCAATTGGTTCCAAACATAGAAATGAAATTTCATTTTAATTCCAATTTCTTTTCTAATTCCGATTCCTTTTCCAAATCCTAAAATAATCGATTCCAAAGAAAGCCTAAGTGCCATACTCGATCTCGCTAGTACAGGAATAACAATGAGTGAGAAGGGGCATCATGGCCAAACAAAGCTGATCTGGCTAGTAAAGCCCAAACAAACTAAAGATCATTTCGCAAGACAAAGAACAGCCAAACAAGCCCAAAATAGCAATAACAAGTTGTTATTAATATAGATCATAAAATTCTATTAATTATTATTATATTTAGAATTTAAAATTTCAACTCAGATTTGGTGGAGTGTGCCAGGCCGGGGCTATAGTGCAACGCCATAGCAAGCTACTGTGGTGGCCCCTACGCCTCAAAAAATAAATTTAATATCAAGTGGGTCATTGGCCCACGTATCAAATATTAAACTGATAAGAACAGATATTAGTACACTTGATCTTGATCTTAGCCAAAAGGCCAAGAAAGGTGTGATTTGTTTTTTCACCAGCCTCTCCTTTTATAACCAAACTTTGTCTCCCACTTCTCTCTCTCTTAACCAATGTGGGACAAACTTGGCTAAACAAAGCACATGTTTTGGCTATTCTTCATTGAGCCCCTTAACTTGCTTCTAACTTTTGGAATTGCCTCAATAATCTTCAACTTTCATTAAGTTAACACTTGCCATCTTTCCATCTCACTCATTTCGCTAGGAGTAATGATACAACGGGGGCGCTCTCATAGCAGTACCAACGAGCTCTTCTCTTACAGCCGTAGGATAAGGATATTCTTGAGATTTGCAAAAGGCCAACAAACGCCGTTTGCGCACAACTCTCTCTCTCTCTTCCTCTGCGCTGACCATTCCTCTCTTCCATTGCGCTCAAACCCAGATCCAAAAGCCAGCACCATGTCTACCATTATTTCTCTCTCTATCCATTAAACTCTCTCTAAAACCCATCACCCATGTCCATCACCGGCATACACAAGCATGTCGTTGTATCGTTCTCTGTGCTCACTGGAGTACTGAACCACTGGAGTACGTCATTGCCATCTTCCCCGAGCAAAAAGATCGCCATGCTCACAACCGGACTGTTGGGATTTATATGCCCTGGCATAGCAAATTCCTATTTAGATTATAGTGACATATGTTCCTAACGTTTCTGAAATATTTATGCTTGATACAATTGGTGAATTCAATGTATTATGTTTCGATTTATTATAGAATTGATAGTGTTCACTTGATTACAAGAGATATTTATATATGTATGTGATGGCAATCAATACATGAATATAAATAGTAATCATAAATTGTTCATCGTCGGTAATTATGGATGGACTCATAATTAATTAAGACTTGAACTGGATCCGCGTTAAGTTGAGATATTTTGCGAGAGCCGTCGTATGCAATTACTCACTATCACTGTCATGGCATTTGACTCTTAAGCATGAGAAAAGTATAAAACTCTTTTATTAATTAATAATTACTTTGATTTGTTCAGCGGATACGTCGAGATCCTTATACCGATACTTTGGGTAGTTATGTAATTAATAGTTAGAGGGTTATATTTTTAATATTTGCATCATTGCTACTTGTATTTATTTTGTATTGATTATGGTTGATCATAAAGTAAATTCGAAGGCCTTCGTGTGTTTTTAGACAAAATGATTTATTATATATTTATTTATTTAAATTATTATTTTTGTCAAACAAATGTTTTATTGTGATCGAGCTAGAAATAATCAATGGTACCAAAATAAATATATTAATTAAGTAGTCGGATTGATGGCTTTATTTATCCGATAACTAATTATGCATAGAGGGGTCAAAGTGCAACATTGACTTAGAGGTTATTTATTATTTAATTGGAGTTCAATTAATTTCTTTTAATGGAGTAGAAATTAATTTATGAATTAATTGAATTGAGTCCATGGACCGGGGCAATTATTAATTCATTGTAGCCAATAAAATAATAAGCCCAAAGGATTCTAACTCATAGCCCAACTTGATATTGGAATCCTATTAGATTTGAGACATGTGAATTGGAGATTGAGAATGATTTATTATTTTTTTTTCCTTATCTTTATGTTGCCTATATATATACATGGTCTATGTATATTTTAGGTGTAATTTTTAGTAGAAGGAAAAAGGAATATATTTTATCTCTCTAGAAAATTAGCGCTAATGTTCTTATCTAATGGAGGCCCCCACAAGCCTAGTTTTCTAAGGTCATTCATGGAGGCTTATGAGTGATTACTAAAGGTAAAACAATTACCAAGAAAATGGAGATCTAAGGAGAAGGCATCTCGCTAAGGGATTTACAATAAGTGAGAAAATTCACTTTAGAGGAAAGATTTAAAGGTTTACTCAGAACCTTTGATGTAAGTATTCAATCTGTTAATTGAATGATACATCATATTTTAATTTTGCATAAAACTTATCTTTATGTGATGAATCAAGATCTGTGAATGAAAATTTCTCGAAAAGTTTTTAAAACTTGCACGTTTCCCAATAGTGGTATCAGAGCATGGTTTTATTCATTACTAGAGATCATATTTTTATCAAAATTCATCATTCATGGATCCAATTTTAATATGCATATATTTATTTATTGATGTATGTTGATGTATGAATTAATATATTGATATATATTGATACATAATGATGTATATATAATTGTGAATGGATGATGATGTGTGATTGGGCCATGGATGAAGCTTATAGGTCAATTGAATGTAATTTTATATTTGGATGAATGTAATTAAGGCTTTGATTTAGTCGTTTGAAAGTTAAATAATGTAATTTAATTTTTTCCATTGTATTTTAAATTGTAAATATTTTTAAAGCTATGTAATCTTCATCAAATGATGCTACGAAGTTTCAAGAAGGTCCAAAAGGGTTAAATTAGGCTTTAGGAATTTTCTGGAATTTTTCCAGAATTTTTCGGGAATTTTTTGAGCTTAATTTAATTTTCTGGGGATTTTTTTATTTTTTTATTTTTCTAGAATTATCGGTGAATTTTCGGCGACCAGAGAGTTGCCGACGACGAGGGCAGCTCCGGAATAGGGGAGACTAATCCCATGTGACGCAGCAATGAAGTGCACCTAATCATAAGGCGCGTGAGTATACGCACCAAAGTGAAGCTTTGCTGTGGAGGAGTTCCTGGCGCGTGAGGAGCACGCGCCAGGCCAATCCAATTTCTTCCACGTGCGCGTGCAAGCGCGTCCTTGCGCGTGCCACGCGCGTGCAAGCGTGTGGAGGCGCGTGTCATGCGCTGTTGCACCCCCTAGGCGCGTGCCAGCGTGTGTGGGGTCCTCCGGACGCGTTCCAAGTGCTGTGTTGCCTCCGCAGGCGCGTATCAGCTCCCTGCAGGTGTTCACAAGTCTTTGATTGACCCTCGCGCAATACTTAAAGCAATTAAATGTTAAAAGCTAAATCCATTGGCCATTTTTATTTGCTTGATCTGTCATTTATTGATGTATGTGATGCATATAATAAATAATTGTTTATTAATTATTATTCATGCATTGGATCTATGATATTTAATTAAATGACTTGATTTATATTAATTAAATTATGAAAATTAATTGGATTTGATTACTAATTAATTTGAGAGCACTTATTGGGAAACGAAAAATTATTTTTGTAAATTATTTTTAAAGTGTATTTCAAATTAAATATTAGTGAATCATTTAAAAGTCTAAATATTTTCTAAATTTAATTGGATTAAGATCAAGGCGTTTTGTATGCATTATATCATGTAAATGAATAAATTGAAAACCCTAATTTTGAATGATTAAAAATTGAGTGGGAGCGGAGATTTTTATACATTACCCCATGGCCTTCGTTATTAAAACCATTGTAATTAGATCTTAAAAAATAAGGCTCCACGCATGATTTGAAGAGTCTTAATATTACAAGAATGGTTGTCTCATGAAAATAAAAATATTAAATATTCATTGTAATTAGATCTTTAAAAAAAAGGCCCTACACATGATTTAAAGAGTTTAGATTATAATGACAAGATATTTAATGTTTTATTTTTTCATTAGAGCATTAATAACGTTATACACTCAATTTAAAATCAATAGTGTTAGCTCCCCAACGGAGTGGTCTACACTAGGTGATTTTAGAAAGGCTAAATATAATCGGGAATCATTTCATATAGATAGACAAGGCATTGTCTTAAGAGATATGGAGATGATGGGATTTGCCCGCCAATAGCAATAATGAACTTCGCCAACCGAATAAGTTATTGGCGTATTGGTTATCCGATTTTTCATGCAGTGGTTAAGGGACTCACATATTATTTTAATGGAAGTGCTCGCCTAATAGCAAATAAATCTCAGCAATAGTAATAATGAACTCCTCCATCAGGATAAGTTATTGACGTATTAGTCGTGTGATTTATTATACTACGGAGTTGAGGGACCCACACTAATTAAAAAGGAATGTTCACCAATAGTGATAATGAAATCTTATTCTATTGAGATTTATTATATTATGTGGTTAACAAACTCATTTTAATTTTAAATATGGATGATAGTTTTAATAATTCACCTTGCATGTTGTATAAATGCATTTATATTCAGATATTATGTCTAATCCATTTTATTTGTTTGCTTACATATTCAATATATTTGGACCTCATTTATATTGACTGGAAAATGAACTTAGATATTTTATTCACAACGTAGTGGTACAAAATATATTTACTACTCCCATACTTAATTATTTTACTTTAAGATACCCAAGAGAACATTAATGCTTTTAATAAGTGAAATAAGGAAAATGATTTGGTTTGGTGCTATATTCTAGAACTTATCTTGAATACGTTCCAAAGCTATTATTTGCATTATTTTCTTCGGGCATCATGTTAAATATCAATGTGATGTTTTGCTGAGATTAGATAGAGTATATGCCTAAGTACTATGTCAAATTTAAATACCATCAAGATAGCCTAAGAAACTCCAGTATAATATCGTATTTTGAAAATGATTGTTTATTATTTAAAAATTGAACTGGAGGTCAAAAGGGCTGACTTGGGTGGTAAGTTTGAAGTTGACATAATTATTGCCTTGTTACCAAACTCATTCGACTCTTTTAGAGTGAACTAAGGAACCAGTTTGAGTTCACACTCGCTGATATTTTTATAGAATTGGTAACAGATAAAGGGATAATCAAAAGTATGGACATTCCTATCAATCTAACCTAGTCTATACCATCTTCTTCTAGGCCCAAGTGGAAGGGCAAAGGAAAGGAGAAGGATGATAATAGGACTAGGCTAGCACAAAATATGGGTATCCAAAAGGTTAAAGGGCATAAGGCAGTGTATGTTGAGGGCGAAGGACACTGTTTCTTTTGCCGCTAACTAAGACACTAAAGGACGAACTGTCTAAGCAATGATGTGGCATAGGAAAATGTATATTTAATCATTGAACCATGTTATGTGGTTGTATCTATTAATTCCTGATAGATAGATTCTGAAGCCACTA